TGGCATGAAGCTTTTATCGATACATTAAATCTCTTTTTTTAGTTTTTATTTTGGCTTGTCAGAATATTTTACAGAATTATTTTTGATTATTTCATGATGCTTGTTCAGCTAAAATTGAAGTTTATACTTTGTAAAACACATAGTTCAGTTCAGCCTGTAGGAGACACTGTTCTTCAATACAAATTCTGTACCTTTAATTGATTTCTCTAATTGGTGCTAAGAGTCATGATCCCTTTTAATTGGCAGATGTGCATGATTTAATTACTTTTGGTTCTTGGCTGAACTCAATAGCTGGTTCCTCCCTGAAACTTCAAAAGACACATTTCAGAACACTTCTTCTCATTAGCCTTTTCAACTTAGTTTCTTTCTACTTATTCATGATTTATGTTTTTATGTCCACACACACCTGGCACAGCTCTTGACCATTTTCCAACTCTTTTTCGTTAGCTCTTTAACTTTGGCTTTAAGCACAATTCTTAAAACATTTCTCTTTAGGCAAGCATCCCTCTTTGTTTTAAACTAACAGAACTTAGAATTGTTGAAGCTTTTTACAAACATCTTATACATTAACTTGTTTTAAACATAAAATGAAGTTCTAAAACCCACAAAGGGATTTCTTCTTTTACAATACATAATAACATTATTTTATTTTAATTAGACTCTTCCTTTTGAAATAGAAAAGGAAACAATTGGCAGTGATTGCAAGCCTTCTTAATTAGCATTACTAGCAAACAAAGCTTTGTTTTAACTATTCAAAATGTAAAGTATTTTCCTTTTTTAAAATAATACAATACATATATAGATATTCAATCCAAGCATCTAATACATTGAATATGTTAAACATGATCTGTGTCTCATTTAACCATAAGTTCTCATTGAGAGCTGCTTCACACAGGGCAAAAACTGTTTCTAAACTTTTCACCTGGTTGGCAAATTTGTGCCAAGTTATTCTGACTGAAATTGGCAAAATAAGCAGAACATCTGCACTTCAAAGGACACATTATTTGAAGTAGCAGGACTATAAATCTAGGACTCTCTACAGGTCTTCAAAGTTGGCTAAATTAATAGGCAAAACACCTACATTCCCTATCAAAAGGTTACATCACAAACACTCCTTTTCTTCCATTAAAACAAGCTAAAAACATGTTAATTAAAAATGATTGAACTCATTTGGTGTTATACAACACTGTCTAGTGTTCTAAAACAGGATCTTAACTTTCCAGGAGAAGCCCAAAGAATTCTATCCCAAAGGTTTCTATAAGACAGCAATAATCAATTAAAAAAACATTTTAACCTGGGCATACTCTACATGTTTATTGCTTGTTTTGATATTTTTAGTAACCCACTCCTCAAAATCTCTTTTTGCATGCTTAATTATTGACTTACATTTATTTTGCCAGAGCCTGTGGTCACTTCTGTTCAATTCATTGGGGTAGACCTTCCACTTTTAAAAAGAAGCCTCTTTACTTTTATAGCTTCCTTGACTTGCATTGTTAACCATGCAGACCTCCTTTTAGACTTGGCAGTGCCTTTCCTAATCTGGGGAATGCATTCTATCTGGGCTTCAGTTAGTGTGGTTTTAAATCGCTTCCAAGCATCTTCTAGGGATTTGACTCTCTTGTGTTTCCCTTTCAGCTTCCTTTTAACAATTCCCTCCATTTTTGTAAAGTTCCCTCTTATGAAATCAAATTATTCAGTTTTGGACTTTAGGAATAACTTTCCATTGACCTGAATGCTGAACCTAATAGCATTCTGGTCACTGTTTCCAACTGATGCAACAACCTCTGCATCACTCACCACATCTTGAGACCCGCTCAGAACCAAGTCCAAGATGTTCTGTTTCAGTGTAAGAACCTATTAATCATGTCCAGCCTACCTTGCAGAGTTGTAAAATGAGGTAGTCTGTTAGTGCAGCCCTGATCTCTTTAAAAAGTGTTGTTGTCTAGGACTCAATCCCTATCATGTTAATATTTGTTGGAGGCTGGGAGATGACAGAAAGTACTCTGTTCCTTCAGATACCTTTCCTTTACTAAATAAACATTTTTTCATTGGATACGAAATTTCAAATTAAATGTTTAAATTAAAATCTGAAACTGAAAACCTGTTCAAGAGACAGCAGATATCCAGAGCAAACATTACTATTGGTCATCATCCAGACTGGCTTATGTTTACCAAAACCCTAAGGATTTTCTGTGGAGGCCCAGTCAGTATAGTATTAATAACACTCAAATAAATAATAAATACCTACAGTTACCCACAGTGTTAGACTTGTCAGAGCACCAGTAACATTTTTGAAAGTATTTGACATGCTACACTTTAACCACCTGGTGGTACTCAACATATTGCTGTGAAAATTATTTCCTACAGTACTTTGCAAGGTAGCTCCAAAGATCTTTAATTTAAGCATAGTGAGTTAACTATAGGTAGTTAACTAATTGGTAACTATATAGTTGCTTACCATACATAAAAGCACATACATATGATGTATGAAGATCAGGAACGCAGCAAGATGGAAATCCTAAACACACTTCCTAGGAGTCAGTCATAAAAATGAATAGGGCTTACTTCCTAATAAACACATTTCAGGGGTCTTACCTGTAGGAGTGAGCATTGCAGGATTATGGGGCGCTTAGTACTGTATTAAATACTTGCAGAACCACAGTTTGGTGTAGTGGTTAAGTGCGCAGTTTGGTGTAGTAGTTAAGTGCGCAGACTCTAATCTGGGAGAACCGGGTTTGATTCCCCACTCCTCCACTTGCACCTGCTGATGTGACCTTGGGTCAGTCACAAGCTCTGGCACAGCTATTCCTGAAAGAGCAGTTTCTGTCAGAGCTCTCTCAGCCGCACCTACCTCACAGGGTGTGTCTGTTGTGGGGAGGGGAAGGGTAAGCCGCTCTGAGACTCCTTTGGGTAGTGAAGGGCAGGGTATAAATCCATTCTCCTCCTCCTCTTCTTCTTCTACTTTCAGCAGATTGCAGAAGAGCAGTGCTATAAGCAATGTGAAGGGATTGTAGGGCGGATAGGACCATTGTGCTCTCTGGCAGCTGGCAGTAGTTTGGCAGTAAATGGAGCTGGGAGGGACTGCTACCAGATGATTCTACTGGGCAACTTTGCCCTGGCTCCATTGAAATGAGAGCTTGCAGAAAAGCAGATTCTGTACTTCAAACACTCCCAGGAGTTGTACAGAACACTGAATATGTGGAATGACTATTTATGTTGTGACTTAATTGATTGGTCTTCTGTATTTTTAAAAGTGGCCCTTGTGGGAGGGAATGATTTTCATCTAAGTATTTTAAGGCTGTTTGGCATCTGTTTTACTAGGGAGGGACAGTTAGTAGAACACAAGGGAGGTTAGGAAATGTGATGTTCACTTGAATTTCGCCATATATCTGTTTACAGAATGTAAGGCAAAGTTTTAAAAAATGCTTTCCTGCTCTTCTAAATCTCAGTGAAAACAGTTCTTAATCTGGACTTGTTTCTGTTGCTGTGTTTGTAAATCAAACCATGGTGTAATGTGCTAGTGCAGGAAAGCAAGCAAAGTAATATAAATTATCAGTGATGGTTGTTTTTAAATATGCTATAGTGAAAGGGTGCTTTCCTTCCCCAGCTTCAGAGCCTTAATCTGTAAAAATGGAGTTATATTTTTAAAGGTGGTTAAGTAGCTGGGAAAAAAATGGCCATTTGAAAGTACCAAATGTGAGGGAGAAAAATCTTTGCCTTATAAAATGTCCATTGCTCACTTCTCCAAGTGTGCTGAATTTTCCTCATGGTTTTAGCATTGCAGTATGATTAATATTATCCCTCTAGGGTTTAGCTGCATTTTGCAGTGAACAAATATTTAACCACAAGCAAGCTGAATGAATGCATTCTTTGACTAGAGATAACAAAGACCGTAATTGAGCAGCTTTACTGTGTATTGGGTCGGCCTGATTCAGTTAACCTTGTGTAAATTTATAAATCCCAATTTGAACCATGTACACTATAGTTAAAAGTTAAAACAAATAATACTCAGAACTTAGGAATCTGACAATCATCTGTATGCATATTCATGAGAAATGTGCATTAAAGCTTTGATGTATTTTCCTTCTCCCCTGCTTTCACTTGCAATATGTAAAGTAGTTGAAGTTTTTCTGATACTGCAGGGTGTCACTCTAGAGAAGCTCACGAGTCACTGTTGCCTTCTGTTAACACATGCTTACCATTGCTCTTTGAGCACAAAAATACATCATTTCATTGGGTTTGATCCCAACTAGTGTTTCCATGGGCCCAAGGACTTTCCACTTACAGAGTGCAATTTTCCTATTTCTCCCTTCCTGTGGCAGCCCAAAACCCTGTTTCAGTGGGGCTTTACATATTTTCTTTATTTCTACTAAGGATTGTTTGTAAACATCCTTGTTATGCATATTGCAAAATCTCCCCAGTCTAGATTCAGCCGGCCTTAGCTGGGAGGGCGGGGTAGAAATCCAATAAATAAAAATAAATAAATATGAATGTTGATTTGGAAATAAGTCTTGCTGAATTGGATCTCCCATTATCTTTTATTTTGTTTTGAAACTTTTTATTTTGTTTTGAAATTGCATCACAACTCTAATGAAAATGGTATGCCTGCTCTCTTGAATGCCTGCTGCCAGTCACACATCTCCTACATCTCATCTAGTTGTGCCAGTGCAGTGTCATCCTAAGCAGAATTGGGTGTTTCTATGACCATTGAAGTCAGTGAGCTTCAAAGGGTGTAAAATTGCTTTAGTATTGCACCATCGGTCTCTGTAGTTTTCCAGAATGATCTCTGCTCGTAAGTAGTTATACAGGTAACTTCATTGTAATTGGGATTAGGAAGCAAACTCTCTTGTCCAGTCAGATCCTCTGATGAACCTGACTAATGACCAACTGCACAAAAAGACTGATGTTATTTTGGATAAAATGCATCTCCTATGCAGGTGGAAAGGTGTCTTTTTTAAAAACATGAGCAATATTAATAATTCTCCTCTTCTTTAATTCAGAATTGTTTAATAAAGCATGATGAGAATGGATATTCTGCTATAGTTGGTGACTTTGGGTTAGCAGAGAAAATCCCTGACTTCAGGTAAGTTGTTAATTTTGATTATCTCTAGACATTCCAGTCTCTTTGTTGCAATCATAAGCCAAATAGTTGTGAAGCATGGATAAATGCTTTCTGAGATGTGGCACGGAACTTAGAGGGTAGGGAAGGAATCATGATTATTTCTGGGTTAACAAATCTCAAGCCTCTCAACTCTAAATTTGCAGAAGACTCTCAAAATCTTATTGGTGGAGGTTGACCAAAGAACTACTGTATCTGTTGCTAAGTTTCTGTTCTCTGCAGTGAAAATATATGATGTCCTGTGTGTAATCTATTCTGATTCTAATCCTTGAACTGTAAAATATACTAGGCTGAGATTTCATGTAGGTAGGTTGTTAGACAGACATAGTGACACAGCATGATTAACTTCTAAAAAGAAAAGTGGTCTGAACTGGCAGCCATCTCCTTATTCCCAGTGCCTAAAGGAATGCAATCTGTGTGCTCAGGTGTACATTTCTTTACCTGCAAAGACACAAAGGGAGGACAAGTTTTGGAATGTTGATAGACAACAGTTTCTTGACTGTAGAAGGCTTTCTATGGATATCACTGTGTATTGCTCTCTGCTCTGAAAAATTTCTTGCTAGCTTCCAGTTTTCATATTTAAAAGTTATTTCAAACTAATTTTACAGTATTACATAAACTACTTTGAGTATGTGGTGGTGGGGTGCTCTAAAAATGCAATTACTATTAGAATTACTATTGAAATTTAGATCACAAACATGCTCCAAATTTGTCTGGAAATCAGTATAGCCCTTTCTCCATAATAGTCTTTTAACCATTTGGTTGAGATCAATCCAGAACTGAACTAGAATAGCTCGGGTCTTAACTGAAATAGAAATGAACTACAAAATGGGGAGGAGCCATGTATCAGAGCATCTGCTTGGCATGTCGAAGGCCCCAGGTTCAATCCCCAAAATCTCCAGTTAAAAGGACCAGGTAGTAGGGTAAGTAAAAGACCTCTACCTGAGACCCTGAAGAGCTGCTGACCTCCTCCTGAGAGCAGCTGCCAGTCTGAGTAGACAGTACTGACCTTGATGGACCAGTGGTCTGATAAAGTATTAGATAGCTTCACATGTATAGATTTGACTCAAGTCAGGCTTTTGTCATATACCAACCAAGCACTTGCAAAAGTAGGATTTGAAAGAGACGCCTTCTATCATGCTCCCTAAGTAGAATTCTTTTCAGACTTGTCTATGGGAAAAAATGTAAAACGTCAAAGAGACCCTGTATGGTGGATGGGGAGACCTGAGTTCATGCCGCCAAGCTGCCATGAAGCTCATTAGGACATTGGGCTGGCCTCCCTTTTCCTAAGCTACCTTAAATTTGTTGTGAGGATAAAAATTGGGAACATAGAAACATGTATTCCACCATGAGCTCCTTGAAGGAAGGACAAGATGAAAGAAGTAATAGATGGTTAGGTAGAAGATTGTCCTGAGAGAGCTTGTTCCGGGTAGGGCTCATCTTTGTGAGATCCCATACATATGGTTTAAATTGTTGTTGTATTTATATTTATGCATGTTTTGGTCTTATTGTTGTGCCCTGTGTATACTTGTAAACAACTTTGAGTCACTTCGTGGAGAAATAAAGAAAATTGCAGCAACCTGTCTGCTTTGGATGTCATCTCTATCTTCTCCAGCTCTTTCTGTTGTCCAGAAGAGTGGAGTCGGTATGAATGGCAGGAGAACAGCTTACTTTGTGTCCCATTGTGAAAGCTATGTTACTTGTGAAGTGCTTATGAAATCCTTTTTTAAAAAATTTACCTGCTTCTAACCATCTGCTCCTTAAAATGTGTAAAGTGAGAAGCTGCCTGTGGTGGGCTCGCCTTATTGGATGGCACCTGAAGTGCTAAGAGATGAGCCTTACAATGAAAAGGTTGGTGCACTTTAAACAAAATCAAATACTAAATGTGATCTAACTGTTGCCCTGGGGATTAACTTATGTATATAGCTTTAAACTTCTCTGACATGATTGCTGTTCATCAGAGATTAGCTGAAGTAGTACTGTTTTTAAAAAAATCAAGCAAGATCAGTCTCTCTTCTGAATGTGATGCCAGCATTCCGTACCTTACTAGATATATCAGTTAAGTGATATACATCCCACAGGAGAGGATTTTTGGTGGGGCCATTGAGAAATCCCTTTCCTGTGAACTTGCCTGGTGAACATCAGGAATTAGCAAGACACAGAGTAGAGCTTTGAAAGTTAAAACCAGCACTTTAAATTGGAGCCAGAAACTAATCAGGAGCTAGAAATTTGAATTAAAACTGGTGTAATGTCCTAACTTACTCTGGTCAACAAGTTTGCAGCCACATACCTGAAGTTTTGAGAAACTTCGCACGTCTGTCTTGTTTAGGTTCAACCTGAATCTGTTTACCCTCACTGCTGATTCTGGGCACTGGTTAAGCCGGTTCATAGCCCCTGTGGGATCTGATGGAAAAGAGAAAGACTGGATGTCACCCTGATCCTAGTGACTGCACCACAAACCACTTAATGACCTCTCCCAGTGGTTTCATATGCATGTTAAATCCATACAGTTGAGCATACACTACTGATGCTTCCACTTAAGCACATAAAAATTTAGTATTCCTAAAAATCTAGTGATCTCTATTCTTTCAATAACAAAATCTCTAAATTCCAGTGGAAACAAAAGATGCCGGACAACGAGGGGCCTGATGGCGACTTCCGCAGCCTTCATGGCTTTAGCCCTCGCCCCGGGGTCTTGCTAGAGCTCGTTGCATTGACTTCGCAATGGGCTTGGCGGCTAGTATAAAAATAAAACATACTGCATGTCTTGGCCCAGAGGATACTTTGAAGATCTTTTTTTTTTTAAACGTAATTTTATCCCTAAATCCAAAGTAATACTCAAATTCATATTTGCTTTACTGGAGGTGTAGTCAATCTAATGCCATACTGTGACCCATTGAACTCCCTCTTCTCTTAACTAATATGTACATTGCATTTATTTCATCTCATTGCACCTAGTACATTGTACTAAATTAGATGGTATCTTGTCTTATCCCAAGGGCTGCCCCTTTTTAATAGGAGTTCACATTCTAGTGATACGATATACTGGTATATCTGTTGAGTAAACTTTGAACAGCTATAGGCTCTGAAACTTGTTCATCCTTTGTGAAGTAGTGCTTTTCTCCAGCCCTAGATAAACCTGATAGTTGCAGTTTGATGAATTATTCCTTCAGACGAGTTCTCTCCTAATCTGTAATGCAGCATTTTTCTGGCTTTGACATGAGTGGAGGGTGGAAGAGGCAAAGAACAAACATACACTGCTGTGAAATATTATTTAAGATATCCATCCAATGAGTTTGCGGTCATGGTGCTTCTTTGGGAAAAGTTCTGGGTTTGTATTTGCTTGAGTTCTAGAACAGTGGCAAATGATGGGTGGTAAGAACTTTAAATGCCATAGAGATGTGACAAAAAAAGGTTCTTTTGTGGAATATGAAGGAAACAATGGCAGATAAGGCAGCAGAGGAATTCCTATAATTAAACTGTGGCTTTTTTCTTTCCCTCTCACCCCTTCTCAGGCGGATGTCTTCTCATATGGGATCATTCTTTGCGAGATTATAGCCAGGATCCAGGCAGACCCAGACTATCTCCCTCGCACAGAGGTGAGCAGTCAAAAAGGACTGGCCAGGGACGAATGCTCAAGAGTTTCACTGGGTCATTAGTAATTTCCACACTTGTCTGAACACAGTGTTCATTCTGTGCTGTTGCTACAGGCAAGGAGTGACAATTATTTCCCCCTCCCTCTTATTTTCGACTGCAGAGTTACAATTTGCAGCTGAGTGTTACACCAGTCATGAGCTTTGTGGATTGGTCTCTGACTGGCACCATATGGAGCAGGTTACTTCTGCAACCCTATCCAGTGAAAGGATTGTTTTTTTCCTTCCAAGACAACTAAATTCTGAAACTGATGAGCCAGCTCTTTATCCCAAACCCCATTTGAGCATTCTCTTGGGCATTCAGGGTACAACTGTTTTGTTTATCTGTGTTGGTCCCCATTTTAAATCAACAACACCCTCTCTATTTCAGACTAAAAATGTAGGCCAAACTTGTTTGATTTTAACAAGTGTCTTGAAGTTAGGTCTCGCTTGAGAGATTTCTGCTGTTATATAATCTTCATGTCTTCCTAGTACCAATATGATTTTTTTTCCTGGGAGAGTGCAAAACATGCACTGAACTGGGTGGCAAGTATTGTTAGACACATGATCTTAAAACTATCTTTAAGGGATTTCATAACTGGTTCGAAGCAAAGTTATTTTAAAACTATGCTCCCAGAAAGATCGTGATGCAAGTCAAGGGTTTCCTGTTCCACCAAGAAGTGGCTATACGTTTATTTCCACATTTTAAGCTGCTTATGGCCAAACACTGCAGTTAAGAGAACTGGGAATGTGAGCAGCACTTCCTGACCATTCATCTCACACCAGGCTTCCTGGTGCAACTAGACAAAGCTATAAGGTATTATACAGTATATCTCACTGCTCTAATATATTGGACTGCATTAGCAGACCAAAGCCCTGGAAGTCTATATACTGTTGCACTGAAACTGTAACCTTATAGAGGGTCTCTCTCTCATTTTAGCTCTGCATAATTAGAAAGAGAACAATGTGAAAATAGCAACAACAGGTTGGCACTGTGCTTCCTAAATGTATACGATTGGGTATCCCAGCACAGGCACAAAGGCATGTTCTCTCCCATGGTGGCTCAGGGCTGGATGCCAGCACAGCAGCAGTACTTTCTGTTGCTGCATCACAGTTTCTTTCTCCCCCTCCTCTGTACCATGGGTAGCAAAGGGGAAATTGTTTAGGCTAGTGGCAGTATCTTTTTTATATTCTTTTGTATGACAATCCTATGGACCATTTTAATCCCTAGGAGCCCTAGAGGCAAATGCAGTGTTGTGTTGGCAGAAGAATATAGAATGTTGCTGAAATGGAGTACATGCTTCATCTAAAGCAGTACTGGAACCATAGGGTTGGGTCGTATGACATGCAAGCATATCTTTCCCTGCAACAGGCCCATAGCCAGGATTTTTAAATGGGGGGGGGCTTTAAATAAGTCATGGGGCACCCCACACACACTCCTGCACACACCCACCCCGAAAAGGAGCACCTGGGTTGGATGGGAAGTCTTGGCGGTAAGTCAGGGGGGCGGGCCCCAAGATGCCCCACTGTAGCTACGGGCCTGCCCTGCAATCCCCTTTCCCTATTAGCTCCTTTTGACTCTCAGAATGCTGAAGTCAAGAGTTTAGGGACCTATGTGGAAAAAAACCCACATGGGATGGCGGGACTGCAGTGATGAGGGGGGAGCTGGGTAAAATCCCCTCTTCTAACTCTGCTTCCAGCTCTATGTTCATTGATGCAAAATGTTTCATTGGGGTACGAGGCAGAGAAGTGCAGTTTTTCTCATTTACTCCTCCTCAGTGCAGCTGTGTATGTTGCAGAGCCCCTTATTCACATGACTGCCCCAGCTCTGGCATCAGCTTTTCACTGGTTAAAGGGGCTTCTGGCAGAGGGGAAATGCAGACAAGATCTGCATGAACAAGTGCCTTTTGTTTGTACTTCACAGAATCCATCCCATTGTAACAGAAACTAATCCTGAGGATAGGACTAGCTCAGGCAAGCTAAATTCTTATTTAATATATATACCCTGCTTTTCTTCTTGGTGGCTTACAAATAATACTTAAAATATTACAAATTAAAACCAAATGAACTGTTAAAACCCAAATGCTTTCCTCCCCACAAGAAGATGTCTGCTGTTGAAGAGGAAGGGAGCAACATGGCCCAAAATGTACTGTGACCATGATGGGAGGGCCTTCAAAGATGTACCAAGTGCCTGGTACATACAAGCAGTACTGGGGACATGTAGCGATGGGTCAGCAGCACTGCTCTACCTCATTGTTCAGACAAAAGACTTACAAATTGAACCTAGAGGAAAGTCTGAAAAAAACCAGCAGTCTTCCATATTTACTTAGGAAGCTTGAGTCATCTTTGATCTATAGTTTTAACCTAATATGGTATGTGCTAGCATGGAGGGTAACCTGTAGGTGTATCTTGCTGGTGTAGAGCAGAGGTCATTTCGGGGGGGATCGCGGGGGATCGCAGTTCCCCTGGGTGAGGTACGGGGGCGGGGCACATGATGAAGCCCTGCCCCCTGCTTCCGACCGCTCCGCTTCCGGCCCTCATTCAGCCAGGAGGAGGCAGGAGAAGAGGGAGGGTAAGTTGCTTCCTCTCTGCCTCTCCCCACCCCTGCCTGCCTGGGGCCAGGGAGGGCCTTCGCGGGGCTTCCTTGCACTCCCGCCGGCCTTGCAGGTCCACCGCCGGGCCTCTGATGTCAGGGGGTGTGGCATATGCTAATGAGTTATGCTAATGAGTTCCCCTAGCTCTTTTTCTACGAAACGACCCCTGGTGTCGAGAAATGTTTTCCTTACATTTACTATTTTGCCTTCATGATTTTCTTGCTTCCTTGTCTAGTACACACTCTTT